CCCCTCTGTGCAAGGTGACTCTGAAACTGGATCTCTTCCAGCGGTGAGTACAGTCATCGTTTACATTAGCTGGTCGGCGTAGCTTAGCTGACACATACCCGCAACCGCTCTTGTGCTCTTCCTGAAGAGTTTAATTTTTGTGGTCAACACTCACATAGTGAGTGTGTAGTGATTGTTCGTGCTTGCGTTTTTCGAGCTGAGTGTAATATATGTAAATTCTCTTTGCCCCAATCAGTTTCTCATGCTCGATCAGAGTTGCATCAAGCTGTGTTACCTACCCTCGTACTCATCGCAGACCTGAAAGTAGCCAAGGTACTTGTATTACTACAAACACTTATTATGCTCACTTGCTGCGACAGAGATGAGAATGGCAAGGTCTCGTTCGTCAATCCGGAGATGGGTAGTTCACACGACGCCACCGGGGGCCAGGACAGGTAGTTCAATTGTTGTGTGTCGCAATTGTGAAATCAGCAGGACTTTATATTCATCACATATAATCAGTTGAACTATATATTTATCACTCCTGATCAGTAGATCATTATATTTGTCACTATTCATAGTATAACTATATGTTTATCACTATCAATCAGTAGCGCCATATATACATCACTAATAGAGCTATATATTTATCACTATCAATCAGTAGAACTATAATATATATTTGTCACTATTACTCGGTAGACCTATATAGTCATCCATATCAATCAGTAGGGCCATATATTAATCGCTATAAATCAGTAAAAAAAATATGTCACTATGAATCAGTAGAGTTATACTATATATTTATCACTATAAATCAGTAGAACTAAAATATATTTGCCACTATTAATCGGCAGAACTAAATATTTCCTGTAGTGATTAGTATTATATATTTGTCAGCTCAGGCGTATCCCTATGAAGTGAATGTCCGTCAGTCCTTATTCTTGAATTTTTGCTTCATTTCTTTTTAGGTGAAATGTTTTTAGAAATGTTCTTACCGTGAGGTAGTTCATGAAGTCACCTGGTCGTGCTGTCCGCACTTGGTGTGAAGAATTATCAATCAATTCTTGTGTGTATGCTGACAGCCTTCTATGGGTTTTTAATGGCTTCTAGCTCAATTTGTCTGTCTCTCAATATCAGTGCTTAATACATGAACATAGAGCTAACGTGCACACTGATGTTATATTTTGGCAAGGCCTGTGTGTTTCAGCAATGGCATTCTTGAATACGTATACCTATGCTGGAAGTAATGGAATCTAAGCGATCTATAACAAACATTTCAGACCAAGTTATTTGATGCAATATCATACAGAACTCACCGCATGACATCGGCTAGCAGCACCGACAACAGTAAGAAACTATGGGCCAAGGGTCAGCGTGACACGGATGACGATGGATTCACTAGCCAGCGCAGAACCAAGTATGCCTCGAATGACGCGGATACCAAAGATGATGGCGCCCGAGAACTTAAACCGTTCTTTGGTGAACAGGTGTGTGCAATTACTCGCGTAGCTGAATGTGGAAACGGTGGGGATGGTCTACATACTATACCTGACTACCATCACCCGGAAACAGTGCAAGTACCATGATCACTCTCTAGGCATATGCGACAAATGAATACGGTTGATTCTCCAACCAAAGGCATTTAAGTGAGCTGGCGTTACGTGAGGTATATATGAGACGGAAACTTAAATCAACGCATGTGTGTGTGTTTTTTAAGTTTTGTAGTCTGTTGGCTTAGCTAAGGATTTCAAACCGGCTCAAACATTGTGAAATATTTCTTATGAACCTGAATGTGGTCGTATTATTCTCAGAAAGCGAGAGGACGCGGCAGTCACATAAACAGTACATCGGACTCTTCGCGGGCAACGCTGTTACGGTCCCAAAGTCAAAACGCAAGTAAGTTATCTGCATCAACGGTTGCGCTTGTGGCTACGACTCTTCGCGGATTTTGTTTACATTAGAAATGGTGATCGTCGGAAGGTTGAGAATTGACGATTGCCCATTTCCTGTCACTGTTGCAGAGTTGCCACATTTGAACTATTTGAGTATTCGTTTGATGTGGTACTACGTCTTCTTAGGGAGTATTGATCCTGTGCTCTGGCTTATGCTGCCTATGTAGTGTCAGCTCTGTCCAATTTCACGCATAACTCCACATCTATGTGTATGAATAAGTGAGCGATGTCCATAGTGGAAGTCTGTATAATATTACACATTAATCTGAATAAGTATGAATAAGTGAGTGATGTCCACAGTGGAAGTCTGTATAATATTACATTAATCCGAATAAGTATGAATAAGTGAGTGATGTCCATAGTTGAAGTCTGTCTAATATTACACATTAATCTGAATAAGTATGAATAAGTGAGTGATGTCCATAGTCCGCAGAAGTCTGTAGAATATAGCACATTAATCTGAATAAGTATGAATAAGTGAGTGATGTCCATAGTCCGCAGAAGTCTGTAGAATATAGCACATGCAGATTCTGTGCGGATTCTAATGTAGAGAATTCCATACAATGAACAATAGATTCTGGAAACGGGTTTCTAGGGGGATCGTCAAACGCGGGAGTGTCAAAGAATGGCGAGCGCGATTTATTCGAGGAATCATATACGAACAAATCACATGACAGAGACACCAAGACATACGACAGGGATGGTAGGGATAAGGACTCGCGAGACCGCTCCGACAGAAATAAGCGCAACCCTCGCGACTCCAAAAGCGATCAATTCGGCAAACATGGCCGTCAGGAGAGGTCTTACGGCGAACGATCAAGGTATTGCGTCCCAATGCAAAAAGCCCAAGCACTGACGCCTCCTTGCTGAGCCTCTCGGCTAATGTGTCAGATTAGTGTGCCTAATATGATCTACACTTTTCTTGCACACGATGTAGGCTGAACAGGCACCGTCACTGGGGCGATCATTTTCTATTTGTTTAGCTGATATGTATAAGGACTTCGACTGGAGGTTCTATATTTGTTCGATATTTCAATGCATTGTTTTTGGTTCAATCGCTAGGCACCAGTCCAATCAACCGTCATGGATGGATGACGAAGCGGAAGGAGATATGGTCATGCCGCAGCGTGATCTGATTGCGGAAGAGAGGGCCAATCAGAAGGGCAAGGATCAGAAAGCCACCAAAGCCGCAGATACGTCTGGTGGTAAGTGAAGTTTTCGAACAACGTCTGATTTTGATATGTCGCAATACGCCAGTACGATAACTTCCCCTCTGCATCTACGCTATACCGAATGTGGACTGTTTGATCGTTGCTGTTACTAGACATGCTGTGGTCGCAGTCTTACGATCTCCAACGCACACTCTAAATCGGAAACATCGCTCATTTTCTCCGTTACATATTAGATGCGTCCAGCAAGACTCTGAAGAAAGAATCACGAGGTGAAGAAAACATCGAGGAGTCTGAAGCTGGTCAGAAGAAAGAAATCACTACATCCCAGTCATCAATAAATAGTGCTTCGTCTGGTTCACGCTTCTCGAGATTTTTTGGAGATGAAAATAAGACTGGGGCCGAGGGCACAACCGCAGAGTCAGGTATTTATTCACGAACGGGCAGGTATTCTCCGCACTGTCATATCTTGCTCCTACTCTGACATCTTGTCAGCGTATTTATTTATTTTAAATCTCAATGTTAGTCAGCGTATCGTATGAATCTGAATTTAGTATATTTTCTTTGCGCAACGCATGCCAGTAGATAGTGATAATAATTTGAGGTTTCTGTGTCGTATGATTAAAAACCGACTGACATGGGAAGGCCCAGAATGCTCAAGTCAATTCGCTGTGTGTCGGCTGCTTGTGTTTATACTGAGAGCTTTCGAGTTTACCATTATGTTTCTCTCGTACAATATAAGTCAGAGGGATTTATGATATCTGCGACTTCCCATAATGAGTATATGTGTTTTCATATGCATTCACGATATTTAAAGTTAATCGCTCGAATCCTAGCTACAATTGTACACATTCCCTCCCGTGCAGGCACGATCACGACAAGCACATCTACTTTGGATGGTGGCGTCGAAAATCATGTGCCCGTTCAGTCGGAACCGCCAGGGCTATCCAAATTCAGTCGCTTCTTCAGCGTCGACCCCAACAACACGTCACAGCCCATGCCGCCCATGCCACCCATGCATTCTCCAAACGCACCCTACGGCCCTCCTATGTCTGCGTCTCACACTTCGGCGGGTATATAGAAATACACTTCTGGTTCATGTTTTACTTATCACGTGCAGATTCACTCTACGTTTGGCCAATCAGAAATTGAAATGCGAAACTTCTTTTCTCAGTCTTTGCAACTTAAGCTATGCTAGTGACTGGTATTAACTCTCTGGGTATCAATTTGCCGGCAATCTTGCATTCCCATGCCATACAAAGCGTTATACCAATCCAGTCACCAATAACGTACCCCAGTTTCTGCCAATCCGTGTATTGTTGGTTTCTTGTCATCAATGCCGTAAATCATTCGTTGTTAATCGCGTTGACTCTAATGCGACCTCCTCCTATCCACTCCTCTCTGTTTCGTTAGGTCCCCCGGGGCTTCCCGGGACACCACCAGGACTCGCAATGACGCCGCCGGGACTTTCGAGTGTACCGCGTGGTATTCCCGTGACTTTCGATTCAATCATGAGCTCAGTAGGCGCCGCATCCAGGGCGGCAAATGCCGGCCCCAACAACCGAGCGGAAAGTTTTACTTCACCACATCCACACACAAGTCCCAAGCCAGCATCGTCATTTGCTGTTCCAGCGGCGATCAACATGGGGCATACCCAGAGATCACCAGACCACATGAATAGAGGGGAGCAATTGAATTCAGAGCATCTGTCGAGACCCTACGACATGCTAAGTGTCGGTCATGGCTTACCTCAGCAGAATTCGCTCCAGGGCTTACCTGATAGTCAACAAAATGACTACGCGTCCAATTCTACCCAATTGCATATTCCTAATAACACACAGCCAACCGATGAGCACACCCGCCAGCCGCAACACGCAGATGCTCAGCAGCAGCCTATGGGAAACAAACATCAGCAATCCACGAACACTCAACAACAGACGATGGGTGCACAGCAGTACCCAATGAATACTCAGCAGTCGCCAATGGGAGACACGCGACCACCCACAAATGCAGGGGAGACTGGAGATACCGAACAGACGGCAAATTTCCAAGAAATGCAACAGCGCCAGAACCAACCGCAATCAGCTATGCAGCAGCAGCAGCAACCCATGGGCTATGGGAGTCACCCGTCAAACATGCACCACAATATGCAGCATCCGCCGCAAATGCAGCAACCATACTATGGAGGGCCGTACCACAACAACAACCAACAGCAGATGGGCCAACAGCCTATGCAAGGCTGTTACAACAATGCACCGCCACAACACCAGTACAATCATTACCCACCGCAGCAGATGGGCTACGGCCAACCACCATATGGAATGCCACCCCCACCAGGCATGCCACCCATGCAGCAGGGACCACGCAAAATGGGCGGCTTCATGCCCACGTCTGTGCTCAAAGCAAAGAAGAAAAAGTCAGTGGCCACTGATGTGAATTCAAACTCCAGAGCGAATACTCCGACGACTCCAAAAGCAAGCGCTCCTCTCACACCTACCATGGATAATCCATTGTCCCCTAACCGTCCTTCATCGCCCGACCAGCCTATGACCTCCGTTGCCCAAGGCCCGCCTAATCGGGTATTGTATATCTTTGCCAACCCGTACCACATCCCGCTTTCCACCTATATAGAATACGTGCCATTGTGCAGTTGGCCGGACCATTTTTATGACCAATTACACAGTTACGCACATTGACCTGCTATATATGCAGGTCTTGCTGATGATTATTTATCACATGAGCCAATTTTTTAAAGCGCCACGCGATGCCGACCTTGCTACTCTTCTGATAAAATACAGCATCAATCTTTACGGTTTAACAAAGAAAAGAAAAACCTTGGTTACATAATGCCGAGAAAAAAATATCAGCCTTGGTGTGGCCCCATGAACCGGATTCCGGTGTCCGATCCATCTAAGTGACCTTTATCAAAGTATCAATACTCACACATTTCTTCTATTCTTGAATTACACAGGGCCAGCCCACAGGAGGGCATTGGGGCCAACCCATGTACCCACAACACATGCCCGCCCCACCGCCTGGAATAGGACAGCCACATATGCAGCCGCCACAGCATATGCAACAACACGGTTCCCCGCAACATTCGTATGGCATGTACGGGCCAAAGCAACCACCACAGCCAATGTACAATCAACACCCATCCCAAGCACCACATCTGCAAGGTCAGCTGCAACACCCCATGCCGCAACCGGTGAACTTATCTCAGCTGTTCAGTCAGGCCTCGGTTCCTACCAATTTGCCGCCCTTACATTTGGATATGAATACGCCTGGAAAATCTATGACAGTTGAGGAACTGGAAGCTAGAAGGAATTAAATAATGGTGTTCTCGATCCGACTTTGGCTCGTAGTATACTTGGTCAATGTATCGCGGTATTTGCCATCTCATACTCCAGATCGTACGGTGTTCCGTAGATATTGCGGTTCTTGACTATGAACTTTGAACCCATTAGCGAAGAGGGTCAATAGCTATATGAAGTAACACAAAGGAGGTTTCTATAATCAGTATGTACGTGGGCACGCTATAATCAGGGAAAGGTTACGGTTAAGTGAACTCATACAAAACATATTTTACAGATTGTCGAGGGTGTTTTTGGTTACCAAATGAATCATTAATTAACATTCTCACTATTTTCGGAAACGTAAGCGGTCCAGCCGGCCAATAATATATTTGTCTGATTTATACAGTGTAGAGCCGATATAGAACTAGAATATATTCTATTAACGAGTTTACAGCTACCCAGTTTCTGTCTGTCTTCTCGCTAGTGCCAGATCATTACTCAGTTACAAATCAAAATATTTATACTTGCCGGCAGAGAAGTACAATACGATGAACGCTGAAGAGAGGCCGAGACGCCCTTGTTGTCGAATTGTTTGACACAAAAAATCCGAACTTACTTTCTATAATCCACAAGATCGCGGATTTGATTGTTGGAGGGTGATTTGAGGGCTGCAGCGTCTTGTATTAAGTGGTTCCAAGTCCGTCCCCTTTTCCCTTCCCCTCTTCTTTGTTTTTTGGGCTGAGCTCTTTCCACTTCGCACCCTACAATTTAAAATTGTGCTATAGGTACACCCTAGGAACAGCCTCAGTGGATATAGGGGTGCGTTTGAGCATGTCAAGATTCGCTGTATAAAGCACATACTAAACAGATGCTTTTTAGGTATTGAATTGAACATTTGTATCTATGGGAAAACTTTCCGCTTTGAATATCGTACGACGTACGGAATAGGCATTCTAATTATACTCTGCTGATATCGCAACTTGTATCGCTACTCATATTCTATCAATGGCGCGTCATCCATTTGCCTACATATGAAGAAAAAAAGTGGTTGAGTCTAGCCCCGACTATAGAAGAGAAAAGAGGAAAGAGCTCACCCCCCCC